CCCATTTTTAACGGCTTTTTACCCTAAAAAGGTCACCTAGAATTTTCGGGAGCCTCTTTTCTGGCTGAAATTTTCGAAAAGGTCAGTTTTGATCCTTATAATTTTCAGATCACTAGACTTTCAGCTAGGAAATCCGAACAGATGAAAAATTTTTAGGGGATAAAAATACGCCTATATCTACCGTTTAAATACTAAAATACGTTTAACAATGATATGTTTAAGTGGTTTTGAACTATATTCTCGTTGGGTGCCCCTGTTATGATCAGGTCTGCAGTTGTCTTTTGACTTCTCGTTTTTGGGAGCATGAATCAACACAACAAAGTTAGACTGTAGACGTCAGCAGGAACGATTTCGGAGCATTTTTTTCTTGTTGATTGCTCAACAACCGGGAACGAACACTTCCGTAATGATTTATTTTGCTGATTCATAATTAGAGATTCTGGCATTTGCGTTCATAAGATAACAAAAAATCGAAAACAAAAACAATGTAGTACAGTTGAACTTGAGCTATTTTATAATTCAACGTAAAATCAATAATCATTTTCGTCATCCAAATCTCTGTAAAAGACGATTAGCCTAAAACGACGCTTTCCGGAGTTAAAGAACGGGCGCAAAAAGGCGAAAAAGGCGAAAAAGGCGATTACAAAACTGCCTTATTTTGACAGGCTTCCAATAACTGACCTTTTTAAACCCACAGCCGAAAGAAAAATCCCACCTTTGTATAAAGAAAAAATATTTTCAAATCACCAACTTCCACCTAATATGACATAACGCTGCTATTGTGTTTATTATTAAGCGATCAAGAAAAACTTCGCCCACATCAAAACCAGAAAGAGAAGAAAACGTAAAACAAAGAGACGAGCATTAAAACAGGAATTACAGCAAGTGCTTGGAAAGCAGGTGTAAGTGAGTTGAAACGTTTTATTCCAGGCTTTTTCAAATATCCAAACGCAATAATTTATTGGGACTCTCTTTTCATGGTGTTAAGTAATAATGCTAAAAATAATTATGATGATTAAAACAAGTTTATTCTCAGATATGATACACGACTTCCTTGTAGAGACCCCAGGGTAACAAAGTCGTGGTCATCGAGGCGTGCGCAGCTGAACGAATACATTTTACCGACTTCCTTTTGTTAGACAATACATTAGTTAGAAAAAAAAAATAGACCGTCATGGGGTAGCAATTCTGCGGTTCGAGGCGTGCTCAAACAACAAAGAGTCAATAATTGGGTTGTCAAAGATTTATTGGAAAATATTTAGCTAACTTCTAATTTTAAAATCCTGTGGCAGCGCCTTTTTCAGGGCAAATGGTATGCGATCTGTATCCCTTATAAAAACAAAACAAAACAGAAAAACAAAGAACAAATTCAGATGCTTCTACTTCTGAGATAGCACTTTGATTGAATTTCAAACAGAGCGTTTGCTAACATCGAATGAAGAGTGACGACTAAATTTATGGAGGAACAGTCAGCATAAGGTTCATAAAAGATAGTACTGAGTTCCAGCCCTAAATCGGTGTGGTTTAAAATAATTTTGCACATGCGTCACACTTTTTGATTCATTTCTCTTGTGCCGCAATCACGTACCTCGAGTCTTCGTTCCTTACTTCGCATGCTGGCTTGACGACCGCTGGTCAAGGGGAACGAAGACGCTGGGTACGAGAGTGTGTCTTGTGCCGTCATGGATATCGTCCAATTCTTCTTTCTCGTTCTGAACTTGGATACATTCTTAATATATCAATTCCAGGGATTTTGGCTACACTGGTCAAATTATATTGGCTGAGTTGGAATAACTTGGATATGTGAAATCACTTTACAAGGAATTTAAGTAACTCTTTTCCTTCGCGACTACAAAACATAGCTGAAAGGCGAACAAAATTAGTGAACTAAGATTTAAGACTTTGATTTGAAGTCATGTGATAACAAGTGCCTAAAATTTAGTTCGATTTTATGGATAGGCCGAAATGGGAACAAAATTAGTCTACCTGAATAGACGGCGGTCACGCGCACGTGGTATACTTGTTACAAGTCGGCTTCACGAGTTTCTTAGCAAGCGGAGCGAGCTTCTTATAGGCAGCGAAGCAACCTTGCGAGCGACGAAGTCCGGCGCCACACTAAATCTGACTTAGGGCTCTTTTGAGAATCTAGTCACCTGGCAGCAAATGACTGAATATAGATTAAAGGGCGGATTTTTCAGCATATGCGTTTGCATACACGCGTATGAAACAATGCAAATTTACAGCGGGAAATGCGGAAACTATAAGGGCATGCTTGTTTCAAATCTATTCTATATAAATAAGGCCAAACATATGTTCATCCGAGTTCAGAGGAATTTTTTAACGAACTATAGAGCAAGCAAGGTCAAGGTTTTTAAAAAGAACAATTCCATATGTACTGACAAGGGGATTTTGAGGTTTTACAGCGGGAAAATCTTTGCCGCTATTTTAATACGTTCCAACGCCTCTAGGCGTGGTCGCCGGTCGTATCGGACTCTTTGTTGATTAAACAGTTAGTCATTCAGTTCTAAAAAAACCTCAACCAAATTTTTCCAAGCGTAGTGGATTGAAAATTCCTTTGTTGAAAATAAAGCGTCATATATCATAAGAACACAATTCTTGTTTGATTTTTCTGAAATAGCATGTAAGATACGCATCTCAAACGTTTTCCTCAGCGGGAAAAAACATAATATGTCTTTTGGGCAATAAAGGAAGCAAGTAAGCTATCACTGTTGCTTGATATTTTTCAGACTTCAGACTAAGCCTCCTATATATTTGAGAGTGGACAAGATAATAGTGAGAATATAATGACCTCCTCCTGTCCCTCCCCCGCTCAATTTATTTCTATATGATACATATTGTATCATATCTTGAACATTTGCTATTTGCATAGTCTGTACACAGACGTTGTTTTATTTTTCTTTTCGTTCTTTTGGAAAACATCGGAGGGCGCGAGAGCGAGGCGAGCAAGCCAGCGAAGCGAGCGAGTAAGAGCGAGCGCGGCTCGCGAGGAAGAAAAATAAATTCTTCTTCCCCAACCCCTACCCCCTTGCGCTGGCGGTCAATAAATCCCCCGCGGTTTATATTTTATCACGCGCTCTCGACGGATGACGGATTTTGCTACTATTTGCAGGCCAGATTTAAGAAACCTTTTTATAGTTAAGTTCTAAAGCCTGTGAAAGTTGCAGTCAAGGTTGAAGTTCGGCTTCACGTTTCATAAAGAGTTTCTTCGGGATCTCATAGTTTGTTAGAGATACGAGTCTGTTTAGTATTCTCATTTATAAGGTCAAATCTCATTGACTGAAATGTAGTACAGAAAGCCACATTATGCGAGATTGTCCCTAACTGGTCAAAAGCTCGATTTCTTAGTTTAAATCCAACATGGCGGATTTAGGCTGCCAAACACGATGGGAGATTCGTAGCTATGACTGAGGGATGAAAGCTCAGTGACCTCAGTGAGCTTTGCAGGCTGACTTGCCGATAGCTGATGTATTTGAACTCTTTCGATTCTGAGTAAAATAAATAACGCTCAATTATTAGCCAGTTTATTATTTTCTTTTTCGTAAAACAGGTAGCAGACGTAGCAAGTTTTCAGAAATGTTCTACTGGCCTTGACGTTTTGTGAAGCAGATAAATATATGTACACAGTTATTCCGCTGATTTTCTTTTCTTAACTGAATTTAACAAATTTGTCTTCGCTTAGTGAAAACTCTTCCGGTACATTCGAAAAAAAAACAAAAAACAAAAAAACAACAACAACAAAACAACAACAAAAAGAAAACATTATTACTGTGGAACAGGTTCAAAGCATTTCTCTTCAAATATTCCTGAAGCTTTGTTCCTACTCGACTCAAGAGGTTTCAATTACGTCTGGCGAGGTTATGATGACAAATGGTCACAACACTTACGAAATTGAACACTGTAGACATGAAGGAACGCCACCCTGTCCAGTTTTAATGCACCTATCAATGTTAAGCCCGAGGTGGGGGACCCCGGGCATATGTGGGGCATTTGAACAGGGCCCCAGGGTGGGGACGAGGAGGACTGGTGGTCACGTGAAATGAGATTTGTTGATTATTTTCCCGGATTACACAAAGCATCATAAAAAAGCAATTTATATCAATTATTTTTATACACAACAACTATATGAACAAATGATCTTATTTGACCCAGTTTTGGGGCCCCACGGTGGGGACTTTGACCAAAAAATCTTCTGAAAAGTCAAATGCCCCACATATGCCCGGGGTCCCCCCCCTCGGGCTTAACATTGATAGGTGCATAACATTCAAATACTAAGCTAGGAAAGGAGGAATTCATGAAACTCAGGAATATTAGAACTGACCTTTAGTTTCTCGCATCAGTTTTTTGCCAAAACTGAATTGCCTTCGTAATATATGGACAAAAGACATTGAAATGTTTAATAACGATATCTTTTACAAACACGCAAAAGCTTTAAATTTCAACGATATTATGGCTAACTGACATTTTAAAAATGAAATCCAATGTGGCAGTCAAGTAGAATGAACTCATTTGAGTTCCCACTCGACCCTTGTAGAGCTGATCACAGAGTTATCATCTGGGAGGCATACGATGACTATGGACAAGCACGTACTTTATTCATGGCCGAAATATTATTAAGGAGGCGGGTATATGATCGCATCCGGGAGGGTGTTGGATCAAACTAGCAGTTACTCAAAAACCCACTATATATTAAGCCTTAAAGTTAGCATGTCATCTTTGAAAGAATGAACACCGTTCTTTTTCTACATATTTCTAGTTTCTTAGGTATTTTGTTATGGTGCAACACAAATATTTTAAGAATTTATCTATCTCGGTCAGCAGAAGAGTTGCTCTCTGACTTAAAGTCGGCTTAAATTGTCACTGTTTTGTCAAAACTGACACCATTCGTTCATACGTGTGCTTCTTGAAAGCATATTCAGCCTCTTGCCACGATGAAAGTAAGAACAGTGATTCAAGCTATGTTTATCGTTTCCACCAACTTCTTAAGCAGAAATGGGTTTCTCTTGAATCTTCCCGATCAGCTTTTTTTCCCAGTGCTGTTTCTGCATTTGTTCGTCAAATTGCAACACATTTTTGTTTCTCAAAAGGAACGGCAATCGCTTTTTCTTTAGCTTGTTAATCAACACAATTATCAGCGAAGAGTCCCCCGTGTAAACCCTTTTCTCGACGGCCATGTGCAGCTCTTCTCGGCAGAAGTTGCTGGCGAGGTAGTTGTCTGACAAAACGATCAGCACTTGTCGACTGCCGTAGACGGTGTCCGCCATGTTTTGGATAAAAGGCTTTCCTAGCTCAAAATCTCTGAAATGGATGGTGTAAGAGATGGAATGTTTCTCAAGGATAGTAATCAGATTATTAGTTACCCAGGCAAAATCCTTTGAGCTGTAACTGATGAAAAGCTTGTCGCTCACGATTTCTTCTTGGTGATTACCTGTATTGATGAAAAGTAACATTAAAATATCATACGTACTGATTTTTTTTATTGCATTCTCAAGGAATTCAGTCTGCATTCAAACACTTTATTACTGGTTGGGTTCCATATTACAGATTCTAGAACGGTTTGTGTTTCCGTCAGTTGTTTATTATTTCTTAACTTCAAAGTCGAATCGAATTGTTTCCACTTTGAATTCTATAGCTTTTTTTGTTTTTGCCTATTAGTTTGCGTGGTCGATAGTAGGACTGAATGAGAAAAGGAAGGAAGAGAGGCGAAGGGAGAGTGGAGATCGGGAAGGAAAAGGGAATTCATTTCTTGTGCTTTAGGTGTTTTCAGTGCGCTTTTCCCTTCCTTCCCTCGCAATTAACCTCACACAGCAAATTTAGCCTGATTAAACCTTAAGAGGACAGTCTAGTTAAAAGCCTTGGTTTTCGTCTATTTCCGTCCTTTTTCTTCCAAATCAAGTCACACTTTCATTCAATTAAAAATGACTCAAAAGGGCCAGAGTCTATTTTACAATAAATGTTTGAAAATTTTTCGGGATGATTTTTGGAATGTTTTAAATGAATAAAAATTATTTGGGGCGGGGATAGGAGCCCATCATTGGGCCTGAGAGTGGAAAATGTTGGATTTGGGATTGTTGAAATTTTTTAAAAAATGTATAAAGTGAATAATTTGTAGTCAAACATCATATTGTCTACCACCATAACAAGGTACCCCTGAGCTCAATAGCCGACTAACTGGTTAATGTAATGTTTTCATTCTCAATTGAATCATTACTGAAATCCAATCCCATTTTCCCAAAAAACGACCAGACTGTACCTTGGGTGCCAGAGACTTTTCATGCGCGGTTCCCGGTCTCGGTCAAGCGGATTGTCGGCTTGCTGCCGACACTGAGGCATCTCGTCGCATGCGATAAGAAAAAGCTCTGGTACCCAGGGTAACCAGACTGCCCCGTTAATTTGCATTCAATTGAAGAATTCGACAGAGCATGCGCAAGTTAAATGAACTTACAATTGTAACGCCCTTTTCTTGACCGTTTTCTTTTTTTCAGTGCGCAAAACAACGCCAGAAAGACAGCAAAGACAGAGAGTGCTACACAGGCAACAATCCAATACTTCACAACGCCCACAGCTTTTCCACCTGTAATTTGAACAAAATAAGTGATAACAGAACGATGATGGGACGCACAAAGCGGTACTATTTTTTTTTGTGGGAGTTTATCTAATTTTGCAGATGGGTGATTGTTCTTCTATTTTGCGGGAACTGTCTATGATCAGTTAAGTGTGGTTTTTTTCATGGGGAGTTAATTTTTGAAATTTTTAACAGACTTGCGTGCCAAATTCCTCATGAGAAGCATAAGTTGCCAAGAACTACTACAGACGTTGTTTTCTGCCCAATGTGGAAAAAAGCGGTAGTGATTTAAGGATAAAAATGCAGCTATATTTTTCGTTCTCTATGCCTTATGCTGCGATTTGCATGCAGGACCGATCTCACAGCTTGCTCTTCCGTCTTTCACCATGCGTATGCATACGACTAACAGAACAATGCATCTTTTCTTGGGAGCAAAACCATACGTTTGCCTACTTGGGTTACTCATTCAATTGTTGACTTAGCCTATACGTGTAATAATTTCAAGGTCAAAGGGAAATTGCTCATCCACAGATTAGCAACGGGTTCGGAGCGGTTAGCATGAAGGTTAGCGAGCGGCATATTGAGCGCCGGAAGTCGGGCTTAGTCGGGTTTGCGCGCTTCCTCATTTGACGTTGCATTGTCTTTGCTCAAATCTGCCTGAATATAGAAACCTTAGATTCGAAGACGAGATTTAACTTCAAGTTTGTTCCCGTAGTCTCTCAAAGTATTCACCCCAAAAAGATTCATTGTACTTTTCCACCAGAAAAGTTAGTACACTTTTTTCTATTGAAGGGGGTTAAGCCCTCTCTCAAGCGCACACTGATAAAATTTCTGAAATTTGGTAACTCCACTCACCACTCTCCAGCACTACGACATGCTCCCTAAAACTCGTAATAGAATGGCGACAGCTATCACATTTTCCCGCGAAAAAGACGCTGGTACACGCGTGCGCACTACTCAGTTGGTAATGGGAAAATCTCGTTCTCTTAGTCGGCGTCCTTGTATTAAAATCTAAAGGTCTCTAATAGAAGCCAGCATCGACGACAAGTACAAGTATGAGAAAGGGGTTTTTAAGCACGAATTACTGGATGGCCGTGCACTCTCAGATTAGTGCAAGCTCGTATTTAAATTGTCAGGGGCACCAAACGACTGTTTTCTGTAAAATATATTTTCGGAGAAGCTGATTATTGCCTAGAATTTTCTGTAAGTTGAGGAAAGCTAAAAATTCCCAGATGACAGTTCCATTCATGTACAATTATCGAAGCTTTTCTAATAAATTCCCTACGATCTTCTGAGGTGTAATTTTTCACCTTACACTCCTCAGGTTAGGCTTTTTCGTAGAAAAAAGAAAACCTATAATTTTCGGATTCAAAAATGTGATGGAAAGACGAATCAGAGAAATTCTCACTTTCTTAGTACGTTAAACTTCAGCTAATATGTCCGGAAAATAATACCGAAGCCCTTGTAATTTCGAGTAAATTCAAGTACCCTAGGATAACCCAACAGATACAAATTTGATAGCGTCGCTTAGATCTAAAAGTACTCTGCCTAGAAAGTGTTTTCAATGTATTTAGGAGGAAACCGTCGTTGGGTGCCCCTTAATTGTATGCCATGAACTATATCAATCTGCCCAATCCGGTTACTCCTTTAAGTAATGTTATAATGCTAGACATACTCGTTCTCTATGCAAATAATTAACAATTATTGGACGAGGTTGACCAAAATATCGTGATTTGTCAGTGGCGAGCAGATCAATTGTTTGCCTCAGCCTTCGGCTTCGGCAAACAATTGATCTACGAGACACTGACAAATCACGTATTTTGCGATAACATTGAGCATGAGCAGACCATTATATGCAGGCTGTTATTAGCAGGTTACGTGTTGAGCTTCTGGCCAATGAAAGGGAGTAAAATTCGTATCGAATGATAGCGGAGCTCTCGCGAGCGAAGCGCAGTGGAGCACCATGAAGTAATTGGTTATCACGTGACCGTACGCCCGCCCGCCCGCCCGACTGACCGACCGACCGTCCGCACCACAGGCATATACCAATTTAAAATAAATCAATCAACAGGTATGGCAACCCAAATGCAACTCGACGTTATTTTGGCGGGAAATCGCATGGCACCGGCATCTTGTAAAGCAGAGACAAATAAAGAGTCAATAAAGACGAAAACGGAAAGCGGAAATTGTTTCTATATCCGTGTTGTCTAAAGTATTAAGTTTAGATTAATTGTCATGTCCACAAATCTGGAATATAGAGCAAGAGAAAGACAGAGAAAAAGAGAAAGAAGGCAGAAGGCCAGGGAAGCTCAACGTGAAAAAGGGCGACAGAGATCTTGAGCGAGAGATAAAAAACAAAGGAGACATTTTATGCTGGAAGAACAACGTACATGAAAATCTTGTAGCGGCCGTGACAAAATGAGAAATGCTAGCGGCCACCAATCAAATGCAAGGTGAAAATGAGCGGTAGTGAAAAAAAGTGAACAAGAACATTTCCTCCAAAGAAGTTTCTGGAAGTTTCACGTTGTAGTCGTGCGGCCCTAGTCGTGCTAAACAACGGCAAAGAAATGTGCAATAAAGTGTGCTGCAAGTGCAAAGTTGCTTTTTTGCTAATAAGACCAATTGTTTTGTTTTTCAGCGTTCTCCGGCATTGCCTTCGCCGCTAAGCATTACACGATTTTATAATTTGTTGAGCGAACTATAAATATTATCGAGAGCTTCGCTTTTAGCCCTGGCTAAATCTATATATTTAAAAATTATTCACCGAAGTGGAGGTGACTAGTGGTTTCGTAGCCTCCCACACAGGCGTTTTTAGGGGAGCTCGTTTTTCATCCCTCCCCACAAAGGAAACGGTAACTCTAAGGTCACGTTTTAGTCGCGTTTAGCCTGTAAACACTTTATTGCACAACTGTTGATTGGTCACTTACCACGCAAATAAAACAATGGGAAAGGAATGCCGTTTTCGGTTGAGCAGGTGTTTGTGGGAAGGGATGAAAAACGAGATCCCCTAAAAACGCCCGCGTGGGAGGCTAGTGGTTTCTCGGCTCGGTCGGTAAATATTCACCACTGGATCATCGACTCTGTGGTTATTTAAATTTTTAAATAGCATACACTAAAACAAAAATGAGATTAACGTAGATCAAAAATGATGATTTTAACTCATTTATTTCTGCCATGATTTATATGATAAAATAAAGTTGTTCTTATATCTCATAGCAACCATATTTCCGCTTTTTTTGCCGGTTATTGTAATTTAACGGTCAATCGAGTGTTTTGGCCATACGAAACAGAGCTGCAGTAATAAAACGATTGACTACCTCTGAAGTCTTGAAATAGTTTATTATAATTGAAATAAATCATATATATGAACTGCGGAAATGAAATCAAATGAAGAATGATCCTGGCAGTTTTGAACGCAATTTATGCAATCGCGTAAGAAGCCCGAAAATTAAATTCGGGACTTCAACAGGATTTGAATCCGTGACTTCGCGAGCGCTTACCATTTGTATGGAAAACCCAGAAACTCTGGGGAGAATTCAATAGAACGGTTCATCCCGGTGGAAAAATTCCGGAAAAATTTGTTAATTTGTTAATCCATTTGTTTGGATTACTAGTGCCAGGCTCCAAGTCGAGAGAAAGCGAAAAATTTACCGCTATTTTGTAAATGGTACAACTCAACCCGTTCCTGTGTTTTTGCTGGCCGAAGCTGGTCCGTGTGTTCATATGTTCCCGTGAAAGAGATCAATGTGACGAATTTATATGAAATAAATCATATATATGAACTGCGGAAATGAAATCAAATGAAGAATGTTCCTCGCAGTTGTGAACGCAATTTATACAATCGCGTAAGAAACCTGAAAAAATAAATTCGGGACTTCAACGGGATTTGAACCCGTGACCTCGCAATACCGGTGCGATGCTCTAACTAAGCTGTAAAAAACATTAAACTTAGTTTTAGGCTTATTTATGAACATGTCAGCTACATAAAGTAACGAAGACTATAATTTGCGTTTGTAAACAAAAAACCTTTTTTCACCGCATCTATAGATTTAAGTTAAACCCAAAAGATTAACCTGCCGAAAACTTCCAAAGCAAATTTCGTCGCCTTCCTCGTGTTTTTCGCAAAACGGCTTCTTCGATTATTTGTGAAATTTCGTCGGGAAGCCATTCTGCTCGTGGCTACGCGATTTTGGCGCCGCTCCGAAGTGAATAGTCAGCGATTATTCCTTGATGGGAGACCACTAGTTGGATTTTACTAACACTGGGTATCCCGAGTTAGTTTATGAATCCAATCAGAGCAAGAGAAAAACACTGTACGTTTTCGTGGATACATGTATACTAAAAGCTCAGGGGCACCCAACGAGAATATAGTTCAAAACCACTTAAACATAGCATTGTTAAACGTATTTTAGTATTTGAACAGTAGATATAGGCATCTTTTTATCCCCTAAAAATTTTTCATCTGTTCGGATTTCCTAGCTGAAGGCTAATGATCCGAAAATCATAGGGATCAAAACTTACCTTTTCGAAAATTTCAGCCAGAAAAAAGGTTCCCGGAAATTCTATGTGACCGTTTTAGGGGTAAAAATCCGTTAAAAATGGGCAATCATATCATTTTGGGGGGGTTCGAAAATCCTAGGAGAGGCGGGCAAGCATGAAATTTAACAACAAATGTTCCGAAAATTCTATATCTCAAATCGTCTTCCGAACAGATATTTTCCAAAAATTGTCGTTGGGTGCCCCTGATCTGTTACTTATATTTTAATCATTTTTTTGTTCACAGATTTTGACAGGTCATGCATCCACTTCATAATGGTGTCTTTCGGGCCAAGTAGATTTTTTTCCTTTGTGAATTCGTGATTCCTGCAAATTAATCTTATAACGACAGGTGCTGACCAGTTTAGATATTACAAATTACAAATAAAAGTTTGGTGATAGCAATTATTTTTGTAGCTTCCAAACATTTAAGAGAAGGGATAAGGCTTTGGACCAAACTGACTGAAAGAAAACCCCACAAAATGAACACATCTAACTTACTTGCGATAACGAGGCATGACAAAAAGCAAAGCAGCAAATAATTCGGGGAATAGAGCCTAAAATTTTCTTCCAGGTATACTTGTTTCATCATGTTTCCTTCCTTCGAGAATGTTAACTGTCGTTAATTCACTCTGCTGAGGGATCTCCAAAGCCAAGTTCGCTCGTGTTCTGGCAAAACCCCGCAACACCAAGGTGTCCCTTAGTCCTATTGGCCTTCATTTATATACAGTATGATTTGATGGACCCTCAGTTGGCGGGTCTCCGCCCTTTATAAACACCAGACAACTGAGGATAATCACACTTTGTTAGATATAAAATACCATGCTGAAATAGGAAGGGATTCCCGGCCCCCCCAACTTACCATTATTGTTAGAATTGCGCCACCGCAATCAGCAAGATAACAATTGATATCCGCCCCATTTTTATTGGTTTCCTTTTGGTGCATTAATGCAATCATTAAATTACAAGAATTTGCTTTCCAATCAACGAGCATAACCAGTGCAAGTATCTACCTCGACATGATTTTTGTGGGCGCTGCTCCTGCTTTGGAGAACAATACCGTCAGATTATTTGTATTCTACGGGAGGACGACATCGTTTTGAATTTATGAAAGATCTCTGAACTTTGCCAGTTCAAATGAAATGTCTTTGAACATTACTTTAGTATCAAATGATACCATGGTACTTGTTTATATTTGTAATAAGAAAGTTAAAAAGTTTGTCTTTAAGTCTGTTTGGGATTGATATCGGCTACGGAAATAAGCTGGTAGGTCTGCGCCAAGGAGACGAAATTAAGGTAAGATTCCAAGGGCACTGGGTCATCCCTCAAATTTATTTCGCAACAATGCTTTCGTTATTATTTTTTTTGCTTGAATTGTTGATTGTTCATTAGAATCCTTCCTTCTGTTCTTTTTTTTGCCCATGACAATCTTCCGTCTTCCGAACAGATATTTTCCGAAAATTGACATTGGGTGCCCCTGAAAGCTGTTATCGCTATATTGTCCTTCTCTACTTTGAATAAGCAATCTTAAGAAGTCTGCACTATATGTTTTCCAAAAATACCTAAATTCTCACGACCTGCTCCCCATTAGCCTTGTGGGTAATGCAGAGTTTTGAATTCAAATCTCACCGGGGTCAAAAGCATTTTCTTAAATTCCTGGTTTATCTCATTTTAATTTCTGCAGTTCAGTAGGGTTTGTAGAGTTTCTCACGTAGTGTTCTTAGCGCTCGCAGCATAATAAAGGTTAGCAGTGGTTACATTTGTAAAATTAAAAAAATAGATTTTCCAGCTTGGTGGGTTTCCGATGAGGCTGTTGAGTGGTCTGTCCTGCATTTATGTGCCTGCGAAAACAGGAGACATTACGCGACGTCACCACTGGTTCCCCGCAAAAAAAACGTCCTAGAACGAGCGCAGAAATTCAATACTGATGACCCATCACTACCTAGATCTGGTTGGTCCGGACGAAAAGGACGTAAATGAGTATTTCGAAGAGGAGCAGTTTTGTTAGTGAGCTGAAATTTGTCCTGTAAGTTGCTGTAACATTTTACTAATGACCCATCACTTTGCTGGAAATCCTGCACGATAGAAAATCTGTTTGAAGGCCCCTGGTCCGGCTGGGTACACCAAGATCTAAAATATTTTTAAACTTTGAAAAGAAAATGAGATTTCTGTGTAAAAGAGCTATAGTTTGGTCTCATGAAGAATTAATGGTTTCGCATCTGTGCGAAAGTGTGTCGTGCAGTTACGATGCGACGGCAGCGAAATTACCACTATTTTAAATAAATTCAAACAAAGTTTAGAGGGAAAGAAAAATTTACTTTGTCGTCGCTTGTTAAGAAAAAAACTCCCCACCGGGAAATTTCGTGCAGCAACAGCAAGAAATCCGACCGAAAAGCGTGCGTCATCATACACGTGCAGTCCGTGCAGAGTAATGTTTTGCTTGTTAAAACCCATTGCTTGAATTTTTTTTGACTTTGCCAAAGCTCCCTAATGAAACCAGTCGGACGGATATATTAAAGCTTCTTTTTAATGGCCTTCTTGATCAGTACTTATTTAATAAAGTGCAGTGCTACTGGGAAAGTCTCGGGCAATATATTTAACTTGAACACTTCATGCCGTTTTTATTGTTTACGCCACTCCTTGAAAGTGCTTTACTTAAAATGTGACTCAAAGTTGAAAGATCCTCACTTCACTCAATAAATCTTGATTTTCTAAGAACAAACGAAACGAAAACTGAACTTTCTGAGGCTCTCCCTTTTCAGTCACTATTTGGCTGGTTTATGTTATGGTCCGGTGACCGGACCAAGGACCTAGTACGCAAAATTTACTTTGGAATGTTATTTAAAACTTTGGTTTTAAAATTCAACCCGTTGTAGCTGTAAACCGAATTTGTTTGCAATTCGAAAAAACATTTCTTGTACACCACGTACACTAAAACTATATCCAAGTAATTTAAGGCGCCATAAAAAAGACAAAAATTAATTAAAGAACAAAATTCACCTACGTTCGCATTAACTTGACTTTCCAGCCTTTCCTAACATCAGGAAAACCTCGAATCGAGCTTAAGAAAGCAAACAGATCAATAAACACTCGAAAAGTTTCGTTTGTATTTTCACCTTATTTTCTTCCCGAAAATTTCATCACAAAGTAAACCGGCCGGACCAGGGGCCTCGGCCGGACCAAGGACCACATACTAGCTGTACTGCTTTGATTGGCTGAATCAAATTTCCCACGCGGCACGACCAATCACTAAGAAGCACTTAACCACTTAACCTAGATTTAGGTTAAGTGACGCGTCATCAGTATAGAATTTCTGCGCTCGTTTCTCAGACATGATTTGTCGTGACGTCGCGAAACGTCGGCTGTTTCTCAAGCTAGCCCCTATCAAAACATGGCTCGATTCTAAAATTAATAATAGTATAATTTTTTATACTTACGACTTGAGGTAGCTTCTTCTTCTTTCATTAATATCGTGTGAAGAGTTGATTCCTCTTTGTCTTTCTCTGCCAATTAAAACATCTAATTTATCAAATGAAAGCCAGACGTTTACGCTAGTTATCAAGCACTACTTCTAGTTGCGTGGAAGTTAAAATTAATTAGAACTTCAAACTGAATTGAAGTAGTCTAAAACTTAAAAGATGATATTAAACTGACTTTTAACCCTCTTTTCTGGCGCGTCACTTTTGATAGAAATTCAAACAGTTCTTCTTTCTGCATTCTTCTTCAGAATTTTCATTATCGGTTTAAGTTGTGAAATAATTATAATTATTATTCATTCAAAATATTTCCCCGATTTGATTGACTAAAAGCACAAGCATAATTCACCATAACCAGTTACTGATGATCAAATTTGGAAAAATTTTGCGATTAATCAACCGATGACGTCAAAAGAGCAGCTTCCTTGCAGGTTAATGCACTTTAACCGAGAAGACCTGGGGACGAAGTTGAGTTGTTTTGGTTGTGAAAACAAAAATGGCTCACATTTCATTCGTTTCAAGGGTAAGAACTAAGCGAAGTAATAGTAAAAACAATGCAAGAACAGCAAGAAGACAACTCGAAGGGCGACATCTGCTATTTGGAAAATATTTGCGGAGCTGAACAACCCTAAAGGAGCACTATCGAAGATGAACTTAACACCGATGGAGGCAAGCTTGTTTTAGCTATGTTTTTAAACTAGGAATTATTTTGAATGAATAATAAAACAATCATGGAGTTCGGCTTTCGTATTATATGAAGAATCATGGAGATCTCGGAGGGTGTTATCAGCCCTGGCCTACGACCTCGACGGATAACACCTTCCTTGATATCCATCCGAATTCTTCATAAGATACCCAGCCTCATTCATTAATTGTTAACTAAGACATGGAGCGAAAGATAAATATCGAAAACGAAAGGCCTCCTCCCAAGATAGAGTGACTTTACTTGAACCGTGAAATAGATGGTAGACTAATACCCACTATTATGCACTAATTCCATCGTCTTCTTTTGTTTACTTGTAGCTATTTGACATTAGTTTTTAGTATCTGTTTCACTTGTTACGTAGCCTGCGAGCAAGCTTTACTGGTTAAGTAAAATGACTCCAATAATCATCTCTCGGATTGCCATTCCATGCCTACCAATTCAGGCTAGGTCTGACTGAAAGTTGCGGTAATAACCGACCCCGGAAGGCTATTTCACTGGCGGATCCAGGGGACAGGCGCGCCCCCCTCCCCCCCGCCCCCCGCCTTATTTTTAGACCAGACTAAGGCCCGAAGGGCCCAAATTTTTTCTTTGAGACTGGGCCCCTCCCTTTTTCTCAGGGTCTTTATGACCGCCTCCACCCCCCATATCTAAACGTCTGTATCCGCCACTGCATTTTACGAATGCCGTGTTTAAGTTCAGTATCGAGGTTTTGGTTGTCGTCAAAAGGATACAATAAAGTTAACAGTTAAAAAACAAAACAAAACGGACTGACCAGTTAGGGGGTCATAGTATCCGCAATGACATTCTTTAGGATTTGATTTAAAAATATTAAAAATGACCTCGGGCCCGAAAAGTTACCGAGACTTGCGACAAACGGGCCTGAAAAAAAGCGGTCATTTCGCGACACCACCACTGTTTTCCCCGCGAAATGACGTCTGAGAAACGAGCGTAGAAATTCCATACTGATGACGTGTAACTACGCAGATCTGGGCAGTGCTTCTGAAAATTTCCCGCGCGGCACGACGAATCAGAAGCACTACCCAGTCGGGTAGTGACAGTGGTGGCGTCGCAAAATGTCGGCTGTTTCTCAGGGTAGTAGGGAGCATAAGCAACAAGGAAGGCGACGGTTACGAACATGCCGTCTCTTAAATAGTGAATTCGCGCTCCCTTAAACTTTATCACCCTTTTTCCATCTTGTTTCATTCGTCAAATGTTGGCAAAGGTTTTTGGAGTTGAATTCTAAAGGACTTTATCAAAGTTCAGAAAAAAAAAAAAGAGAAAGTTGTGGTCTTGTGTTCCCGGCCTCGACAAAACCTGAAATTAGGCACTTTCATGTTGTAATCGTGCAACGAGGGCAAAGAAATATACAAAATAACTGTGACACACGTGCAAAGTTGATAAACCTATTGCTTTTTTGCCGTTTTCGATGCCGTCGCCGGCGCCGTTGCTTAAGCTCCCTTAACCACGAGGAGGGGTTGTTTCAGCTCACTGAATATGTTACCTATGGTACCGTTGGACTGCGCATGTGCAACAGTTCTCAGCTCAATGGCGCCTTTTTCGGAATCACCGGGACAAAACATCTGACAGATGTAGATTCCATCATCTTCATGTGTCACGTTGATAATGTCAAGAGAAAACTCAGATTCCAGACGTCCTTTACACTCGTTCTTTATATGGTGCTGCCTTATTGTATACTTCGTGCTGTTTTGGAGGGTCTTGTTTTTAGAAATATAGTGCCATGATAACTTGACATCTACAGGACCACCCCAACAGAGTATCGAAGGCAATACTGAGCAATGCAGGCTTACGTTGGAAAACTCAGTGGCAGTGATTATGTTGCGGTGAGGAGTGATATAACCTTGCTCACCTGTGTAAAGAATTTAAGTGCAAATATGTCACACAACAGAACATGAGAAGTAGTACAGTAAAACCCGTGACTAAGAAATCAACCTAAACAGGCTCAGTACGGTAATAAGCACAGATTTAGGCTATGTAGGTTGTTAAATAGAATCTTATTTTCGGAAGAAAAAATACATTGAAGCTAAGAGGATTCAGTGTTATATTTAGTTTATTCCTTATATAAAAATCTGCATACCATTACATTGTAGTTGGAGTGATAAGACGATGTCTCCAAAGAGGATTCTAAATGTTGACTTATCTTATTTCGGCAAGTGTAGAGAATATTTTTTTTATAGCTTTTAGAAAATAAGAACCTGTTTCAAATTTTAGGCTAAACAAGTTCTTGTGTAGAAGGGGTCTAACTGGCAAATTTTAGGCTAACAGGTTCTTAGAAACCAAGTTCTTGGTCGCGGGTTTTTACTGTAAAGCTCAATCTTGTTTCCAGAGGCTGCGATCCTTTTGATTAGCAGCAAGGATTCCGCTGGACAAGGGTAATGAAGGCTTCGGGGACCTGCAGGATAAGCACATATGCGCGACGTTTTTCCTCTTTGTGTTGGCGCATTACCTCTCATCCCACATGGCAAGGGTTAATACACGTTCAGAGGTAATTGTGAAATCATTATCGCACTCAAAGTTGCCTGCATCATATTGCTGGCTTTTAAATCACCAAATGATTTCCAATTTTGAGTTACAGGAGATTTTAGAACTGTTGAGCACTTACCTTAACACACGTTGCAAGTTCGACATGGTCATTCACCTCGAAGGGGAGGTAGTTAATAAATTTTATGTGCAGGGGAACTTCGCTTCGCGGTTTAACCCCGCGTACTTGCAGCAAGTATTACTGGAAGCGATGCTAACCGAGAACAATATTATTTATTCAGGTCTTTGTGATGGGCCCTTTTTGCCTGAATGTCAGATTTGACTTCTGTTCCATATTCTTCAAATGAAATAATCCTTACCCCTCTATGGACCTGAAGTCTGAAAAAGCACTGGCACTACGCGGCCACTACAGGCAACAAGAGCCATGTAGGCAAGTTACCGCTCCCCCCGCGTTTACTCGTTTTTCAACGAGTAAATAGTTTTATAAAAGCAGATAAAGATTTGAGCTTATCTTTTGAGCTTTTTGTTACCTAAATCGGCGCCTTGTATTTGAATAAGTAATATAGTTTCAGTGCTTACGAACTCTATAGAGACTTAAGGTGTCTCTGTAAAAGGCATTCACTGATACAGCGTCCACATGCTAAGCTCTTCAAGTTAAATTTGAATGAAATGTTCTTGATATTCTTGCGCATAAAGATCGCAAATACTAGAATCTTAACAAAATTGTGTCAGTATTTATCTTTTTTCAAGTCTCAGAGTCTTGAATTCATTAGTTGAATATAGCTCTCTTTAAATTATTTTTGATGGCTTGGCAACAGCCTGTTCTAGGCTTTCAGATCGTAGAGTGAAGCGTTCAGATGGTTGGGAGCGCGTTAAACTGAAGGCGCGGAAAACGAGGGGAACAAACGAGGGGAGACAGACTACCTAGCCTCAGGCTCCCCTTGTTTTTTTTTTTTCTTCAATTTTCGCCTGCGCTATCTGATCGCCAGGAACAGGCTAACCTGGTATTAAAAATACGCATTATTTAAATAATTCAAATCCTCTTAAAAGGCCACACTTACATCTAACTTCGACTGTAATTTTACGGCAGCTGCTGTTGCCTCCTTCATTTGCTTTGCAGGTATAGGAGCCGGCGTGTTCCACGCGCACAGTAAAGAAGTTTAGTGTGCTGTGAAGTTTACCATCGCCTGACTGTTCCT